TGATGTGATCATGTTCCAGCGCGCGCGTGCTCGTGTCTGTGCGTGCACGTGAACGCCATGGGTGTTGTACAAGCAAATATTTATACTTTGCGATGGATGCTCAGTGGAACAAGCCATTCGTGTGCACTTGGTGTACGCATGCACACGCTCACAGCATCATGACTTGGCATCGTGGTCCTTTTCCACCGAGGGTCAGTCTTAGTTCACGCACAAAGAGACTGTAAGGATATGTGTCACACTGTGTGTGTGTGTGTGTGTGTGTGTGTGTGTGTGTGTGTGTGTGTGTGTGTGTGTGTGTGTGTGTATATGTGTGTGTGTGGATACGTGTGTGCAGTAACCTTGCTCTGGTTTTATTTTTAAAGTGGGCTAAGACAAAGGCCTTCAGTCAAACTGCTCTGAGAACTGGGCCTTGGGAACATGACCAGCGCTTGTTGCGTCACATTGTGCGTGGCTGTGTGCCACTGTGTTTTATGTGTGTGTGTGTGTGTGTGTGTGTGTGTGTGTGTGGGGGAGAGAGAGGGCGAGTTAAGAGAAAGGTACTGCTGTTTTATTTATAGCGTTAAGATTCCATCCAACTTTTTTTTGTGTGAAGAAGTCACTTGTTCAAGTTGGAAAGCAACAAGGAGGGGAAAAATTCTTGAAATCCTTGCCAGATGTGTCTCTCAAACACACGCACGTCTGTATGCATGCACACACACACACACACACACACACACACACACACACACACACACACACACACAGTCTAATAGGGTGGTTTTGCCAAAATGTCCACACAGTTATGGTGGGATAAGGAGTTGTGTCACACAAGCATAGAAAAACAAGAACACAGTTTCACTGTATGTCAACGGACTCATTGTCTGATGTCATAGGAAGGATTTATTGTGTGATCTCTCACCCCCCCCAAAAACAGAAACACACACACAGCCTAATGGCCATTCCTTGTGAAAAAGCTCACACAATAAAGATGCCATCTTCAAGGGTTGTGCCCATGCGCCTTTATTTGAAAGGACTATCAAGAGGCGCCTCGTGGCGAAAGCCGTAGGGCAGCCATCTTGCGTTGCTAATGTTATTGACAACTTATGTTATATTTTTTTTAAATTGAAAACACTCTTATCAGTGCATGTTTTTATACTGGGATCCCTGTGTGGAGTAATGAGAGCTTCTCATAGAATGAACTTCACGGTTGGCATCAACCATTCAAAGTGTATCATCTTCCGTACCGTCACTTGATTTCATTTCATTGTCTGTGATTCTGACTACATAATGCAGACGAATCTTTGAGTAGCAATCAGAAATATACATTTAATTTGCATTCTTACTGATGAAATGAGCATGTGGCCCTTCTCCCAGACTTATTGGTACAACCCGTATGCCATATACGGTGGCATTTTCACCGTAGAGACAGAAAATAACATGAAAACCACACGGACTATTCAATGTATTCATATTTGGCGGGCTCAACAATTGACAACGTAAGATGGTCTCCGCTGGCTTCACCTTTCCCGACGACAAGTCAGCTGCATAGTCCATTATTCATATATTTGTCCGTGGTTGTACTACACAAACATACGAAAACAAGAACATACACACTCACTATATGACCGAATACCAATATTACAGACACATTAATGTAAACCGGCGTCAGTGCATGATGTCATATGAAGGATTTAATGTGTGAACACACACACACACACACACAAGCACATACATGTCCTCTTGTCCACACATTAAAAGCGGGATGTCAAGAGTAACGCCAAAAGAACAAAAGAAAGCCAGTCAAAACAAGGTGAGGATACTGAAGGGAGAGAGATGGAAGAACACTGTAACAAGAGGACAAAGAAACAAAGTAAATTAGCACTAAAAGAGGGAAATAGAGAAAAGCGAATGACATGAGGAAACGCCCTGTCATATTTGCCCTCTGTTATTGTTCTATGGAGGTTTCCTAAACCCGCCAAGGGAATGGGGGAAGCCTGGTCTCTGTTAAATCACACACACTCACACACATACACCCACACCGTCACCGTAATCTGTCCCACATCTACACCGCCGCCCGCCCCCGTCTTTCCTTTCTTTCCTTCTCCCTTTCTTCCTGTTTTTCAAGTCTTTCTTTCCACCCATGACGCACTCTGCCATAATGAAGCCGTTAAGGGGAGTCCAGTTAACTTTGGCTACTGCCTTTGGGAGGGTGTGTGTGTGTGTGTGTGTGTGTGTGTGTGTGTGTGTGGAGGAGGTTTGTTAGTGATGTGGTATAAAGTGACACTACGCAAAGCGACTATATTTGCAGTGCGCCTCTGTAACAAGGAGCCTATTTATAGCTGGCAGATCTTTTCTCAGCATCCGCCGCGCATTGTTGCACCGTCACAAACACGAGCATCAGATGGCAGCAGTGAATGCACAGGGCACTACGCTGCCAAAGGCAGCACGTCTATCCTCCAGTGACTTCCTGTGCGTATGCGACCGCGCGCGCGCGCGCGCGCACACACACACACACACACACACACACACACACACACACACACACACACACACTATATACGCTTAAATGCTAGCACAGTGGTGCCTTTTGACACAAGTTTACCCACACTTGTGACTCAAAACACTCAAATCATCCTTGCCCATTGAAGTGAATGGGAATGCCATTAATGTGTTCCAGCCTACCCAAAGAACAAGAAAGCTTTGTGAAAATATTAGTCTTTCTTCGCAGGGGATAAATAATATATGTCTGTGAGTATTGTTATATTATCTGTCTTACGTGTATTGCTTTATGCTTGGCTTGACAGCAAATTCCAACATGGAGTGGCAATAAACAGCTTGAAAAATCAATCATCATGTGCCAACAGGGTGCTTGTTATGAAGTGACAATGTAGCGCGTTTATCTCAAATTTTTGCTCGGCAGTCAAAAAAAAAAATCTGCTTAACGGGGGCTCATATCTCGAAATAGTCGTGGAATATCTACGGGCACCAGCCACTTCATGAGACACACCAACACAATCTAAGATGATCATTTCGAGGGAGGCCTTAATTTGGAGAAACATTTAATAATAATATCAAGAAATATTACCAGAATATTAACAGCAAAACAAAACAAAATAAAATGGACCATTATGGAGAAATGCATCACAATGACAAACCAAAGGAGGCCATCAAAAAAGTTGGAACAAATAAGTCGTTGATCACGTGAGAGTTTTAAACGCATTGATTTTGTCACACACTTGGGATGAGTCAAATCAAACACAGCTTTTATGCAGCTCCTGTCTTCCCAAAAATGATCAGTGCAATCGATTTACTTTCTGTTAATCACGAATAGTTTCCTCAGTTTGTTTTCTTCTTCCACTAACACTTCCAAGGACATCAATTCAAATTTAAACATGCAATTTAGCACCTGTTATGTGGGATTTTAGTCAATCCTCAATCAATAATCATTTAAAGATTTATTTTTAATAGCTTTCACAGTCACACACATGCAAAAACAAAATCAGGTTTGTAGAACAAGTGAGGAATTCTTTAGTAGCGTTAGTGGCTACCCAGTTTGTCTGGGGCTGACTCAGTTGGCATCTATTTCTGTCCATTCTGGAACTCTTGCTCTCACTCACTTACACACACACACACACACACACACACACACACACACACACACACACACACACACACACACACACTAAAGCAATATAAATATAATCCCACCATTTACGGTGGGTCTGCCGTTCTGTTTTGGTCAAGATCCTCAAACTTACTTAAAACACCACCACCATTAAAACACAAAGCAGAATTTCTGTGAAGTATTTTTTTGAAAGTGACATGATTCAGAATGTTGACACAGTAAATTACGGTAGTTGGAAGTGTACAAAATGTTCAGCGCTATACGGCGAAACCTTAAAGTTCTTCCCGGACTTTGGTTGACCACCTATTTGTTTGCGCGTGCAATCACAGTTCACCTTGCAAGTTGTGTGACTTGTAAGGCATATCACCCTCAAAATGTTCTCCCAATTGAATGTGACTTTAGGGACATTTGACGATGACATTGTTGTCATTAGTGGAACTTCATGGATGCGGAAGTTAATCATTAACATCGCCATCATGCTACATTGAAGACACTTTTCCTGAAGTGAGATTTATAGCACTAAAAGAGAAAGACCCACGAGGCTGCGTGACGTCCCCAACTTGAACTTCTTTATGTTGAGTCTAGAAAGACTGATTTTTATCAGTTAAAATAATTACTTATGGCACCTTAATTTTATATTTAATTAAAAAGAAGCGGCGACCTGGTGGTCGAATGGTTAGCGCCTCCACCTCACAGTGCAGAGGTACCGGGTTCGGTACTGTGTGGAGTTTGCATGTTCTACCCGTGCCTACGTGGGTTTTTCTCCAGGTACTCCGGTTTCCTCCCACATTCCAAAAACATGCATGGCAGGCTGATTGAACACTCTAAATTATCCCTAGGTGTGAGCGTGAGTGCGGATGGTTGTTCGTCTCTGTGTGCCCTGCAATTGCCTGGCAACTAGTTCAGGGTGTCCCCTGCTTACTGCCCGAGGACGGCTGGGATAGGCTCCAGCACGCCCCGCGACCCTTGTGAGGATGATGCGGATCGGAAAATGGATGGATGGATAGATGGATTAAAAAGAAGCCTTACTCTTAAACATCGTCAATTAAGTGTCGGCAAAACTAATCGTCAATTTGATGTAAAGCGTTTTTTTCGGCATCTGTTGAATGTAATAAGGTAACTTGTAATCGAACTTAGTTACTTAAAATCAGGAACTGAAGTTACTTTTCACATCAAGTAATCAGTAAAGTAACTAAGTTACTTTTCCTGGTCACGATGGCAACACTAGTTACAATTCTATTTTTATAAATAGAAAATGCTATAAAATAAAACATAAATCCCTCACAAGAAGGCTAAGAAATATCCCGCAGCTTCTTTCCTTGTGGGTCATGACACTTAATAAAGTCTTAGTAACATGCACACCACAATAGAGGCGTCTGCTCTCCATGTTTTGCAGCGATGTGGGGAGATCAGACTGAAAGTGCCATGAACCCTGAAGTGGCGCTGTTTGTTGGGCCTGCAAGCGCTCAGCGGACGACTGGAGATGCGCGCGCGCAGCCGACTGTGCAGGAGCAGCGTTGTGTCGCCTGTCGCCGTTCCGAGCAAGGTGCGTGTTTACTCAACAGGGGTGTTAACGTCAGTCCAGGAAATCGATGTTTATCCTCGACCGTGTCAAGAGTGAAAAGCATGTCGGAGTGTGTATAACCCTCTCAGCTGCCTTTTGCTTTGCCTGCATCTCTTCACTGTCCACAAACACGCGCACTCACCCAGACGCACACACACAAAATGATGGTCTGACTCAGCTCAGGCTTTTCCATTGTAATATAAATGGTGGGTGGTGTGAGAGCGTCACACAAGATGATTTTAGCAAATGCATATGACAATACTACGCAGAAAGAGAACATCATCACTTTGTTTTTAAAACTCTGCACCCAGGGTGTCCCCCCCGCGCCCCCATCCCACCCCGTTCCGTCCCGTCTTTGTGGCCACTTTCCCAGCGCTCCCTCGGGAGTCTTTCCCAGCTGCCGCCATTCGTTGCAGTCCCAAACCGCAGATGACCATCACGGCGGCCCGCGTGCTGACATCACCGGCCCGGCCTCCACGCGCAGTCGTACGCAGCCCGGCTCAACTGACCGTCTCTTGGGACACTGCAGCCTAAATGTTTGACACACTGATGTCTCCCTTTGCAAGTTGGAGTTCCCAGGGCCTCAGAGTCGTGGTTGTCGTCAGTGAGGCTTATTTTTGAGTAGTTGTGAAAGCCTGTTGTGGCTGAAAGTGACACACAGGAAGAGAGGAAGGACGTCTGGATAAATCATTCAGTGAAGATTGCTCATTTTTATCTGATGCTTTATTTATTTATTAATTTTTCCAATGTAGTGTTGGCTTGGGGTCCGTCTGTATTGCAGATTTATTGGAGGAATGTACATATCTAGCTCGCTGTCACAGGAATACCCACTCTAATGAAGTGTGTGTTTTTTAGCATCGTTTTCTTATCCGATGGTTGAAAACTGCTTTCAACCATTGATTGAATGCTTGGAGAAACACATAAGTGCCCTGATACATGACAACTCTACCATGCCCCGTCTTTTAAAGGCATATAGTTAACATGCAGCCACAGCAATTTGCGCAGCATGTTGTTTAATTTTTTTTTTTATTGCAATGCAATTACACTGTGTTTTAAAAGGGTGTTTAAAATGACGGCCAGTGCATAGCCCTGGGCTTTGTTTTGGCACGCTTGATTTACTTAATTTGAACATGTACATCGGTTGCGCATGATTAAAATGTGGTAACCCGATGTAATTTCCCCATGTTTTCCTCAAACATAATCAAATAATATGTATTATCTTCACACGTTTTAATCATGTGCAACCAAAATCAAGTACTTTTTTTTTTTCAGTGCATGGCCGCTGTAACGTGCCTCGTATTTGTGGTGTGGGTAAGCCCTGCGATGACCCAGTGGGATCTGTTTCGGCCACCTGAGGCTTCAAGTAAACATATTTTTGTGTCTTAAACATGTAGTTATGTGTTTGCATAAGAATGATGCTGGACAAAGTATCATCCATTTTTCCAGGTTGTAATTAGTGGAATTTGATTGAAAGTTGATAGCTTAGCAGTGTGTGGGTTTCAGCGCATTCGGTGGACACGCCCACAGTTTCAGAGAGCGGAGAGAATGGCTTGATTTGTCACAATTTTATATACCTGGTGATTTAAAAAAATATATTATTCAAATTTGGCAGTTTGTTCACACTTCTGTGTCAAATTCATTGATTAATTCATTTAGTCTCACTTTACAGAGACTTAACATTTTTATTTATTTATTTATTTTTTCACCTATTGCGGGTGAGTCTATCCCTGAGGGTTCGCCCCTACACAGAAAGCTAGACTGACAGAACAGACAAGAATATACCCACCATTGTTATTGGCTGCACCTACACAACATAATTTGAGCTAATCCAAAAGTTAATTGTGATTGACATCATCAGGCATGTATTATTTATTGAACATTTTGTTGATTGACAAAATTCTTTCTGATCATTTTTTTAAAAAGCTAAATCAGGTAACATCTCTGAAATATAATGCAAACTTTCCATAATCTGGGATGAGTGCAAAAAATGAGAGAATATTTTACAAGGTCATTGCCTTGGTTTTAGCTGAGTGGTTTGAAGTGGTTATGATTTGACCATTTAGTTGTTGGTGGTACACCCACACAAGTGTTTTCCCTCATTTCCTACCACTTCTTTGGACTGTTGAGTGTATAAACGAACGTGTTGGATTATGTTGTTTAGCGTTCTTTTGGGAGGGATTTTTTTTTTTTTTTTTTTTCGGAACCCTAAACAATGCAGAGTTTATGTGCGGTAGATATTGTGGCAGTGAAATTCACAACAAGCATCAGTTTGCCATGAGCACAATTTTGTTTTACAAAACTCTGCAAGCGTAATGCTTTACACACAATGGGAAACACCACCGACAAGCTAACGCCACAAGTGTTGATGTTGCAGTAATTGTAATACTCACGAACATATTTTCTTCATCCTCTTAGAAAAATGTGATTTAGGTGAGATGGTCTTCTGTGTTTCATTGTCACATCTACATGTTAGTGTGTTTAAAAGGTATCATGCTGACCCCAGCAAAATGAGCAGTGGAATACCCATTGAATTGTCATGATGCACAAACTGCTTATTTCTTTCTATTCAAATAAATTATCTAACAACCATGTTTTCATAAAATCCAAGATGGGCAATTTTTCTTCTTTAAAAAAAAATACACTTATCCTGTGTGGGATCTGTCAGTTATGTGTCCAAAATGATCATAAAAATATTCTCTTAATATATGATGCTTTTTTTTTTTTTTTTTTTTTATCATTAGAGAAAAGGTGAATGCTTGAGATCTGTATTAGTCCTGAAGAAAATCGCTTGAGGGCAAAATCAACAAATGTGCATCTGTTGACAAGATAGCAGAATTTACACCTCCGTGCTAGTTCTAGGCTGTCTGGCACTTCGTATATCGCCTTTGGCCACCCTCCTCTCCCATTTTGCGGGAGGTGTCTTCACCGCCCTGTCCGTCAAAGCATCGGGGCCAGTGGTGCTTGCCTCGCACCCCTTGAGGTGAACACTTACAGTTCACAACTGTCTGAATACAGCAGTGGGGGGGAAAGAAGATAATATTGTGAGGTAAATGGAGGAGGCATAATGGGGGGGGGGGGTGGACAGAAAGAGCCCAAGGGCATCAGGTTGTCCTGCATTTCTGGCTTGGCTCAATCCAAGCATCGATCTCATCAATAATAAAGCTCCAGTGGCCGTGGCGCAATATTAAACATGACAACCGACGACAACGTGGATCCCGCATACGCACAGATTTCACCGTATTTGTATGCCGCCTTGTGAATTTGTGACTCACGGTGGCGAAGCAGTGTAACTGTGAAATCACGTTGGAGGAAAAGAAAATTAATTGGAAAGGTCACTGCCGCGTTCTCAAAACAACTTGTCGCGGAATTAAAGTCATTTGTGTGTGCCTACAAATCACTGACTCACAAAAGAGTCATCAATATGAAACGCCCTCATAAATGAATTAGCAGCGCACGCTAAACACATAAAGCTCCTGTGATCCCTTGTATTTCTCGCCTTCTTAATAATAAATACAGAAACTGCTCAAATCTAATACACACACACTGCCCCTGTCCCTCCTCATCAGTCATTCACCGTGACAAATCTCCGTGAGGAAAAAAATTGCAAGCCTGCATTTTTTCTCCCCCACTAGATAGTCTTTGGTTTGGCTTTACCTGACTCTCCTGATCTCCCTTCATCTATGTAAGCAACTGGTGAGCATTGGCGTGGCAGTTATTTCTCACTACACTGATTGTACCCCTTCTCCTGCTGAACAAGCGACACAGGAAAGGAGTTTGCATGTTCTCCCCGTGCCTGCATGGGTTTCTCTGGGACTCCGGTTTCATCCCACATTCCAAATACATGCATGGCAGGCTGATTGAACCCTCTAAATTGTCCCTAGGTGTGAGTGTGAGCGCGGGTGGTTGTTCGTCTCTGTGTGCCCTGCGATTGGCTGGCAACCTGTTCAGGGTGTCCCCCGCCTACAGCCCGAAGACAATGGGATCGGCTCCAGCACACCCCGCGACCCTTGTGAGGATAATGCGATTCAGAAAATGGATGGATGGATGGATCTCTCTCTCTCTCTCTCTCTCTCTCGATAGATATATAGATAGATAGATACACATTCTGACATACGTCATGGCAGCACAGATGTACAGTGTTGAAAAGTGAAGAAGAAGAACTAACCCCTGACTAACGTAGTCCCAGTGTGCACGAATAAAATTCCAAGCCAATCCATGCCCCGCCACATTTGTGGCAATGTAGTTAATAGTCGAAGTAACATCCATCAGACGTATCTTCTCAGGGTCCAAAGTGTAATCCAAGTATCTGCAAGATAACCAAGACATTCTTTAGCAAGTCTTCTGGACTTCTAGGCTTATCTGTGGCCGTCATAAAATCAGATCTTGTTATTCAACCTTTTATCAGATTTAATACAAAGTATGAAACATCATCAAGTTCGAAAGTCATTGTTCAGGTCACCTGCTTAGAAGCCAGATCTTCTTGGTGCATGACAGTGCTTTTCGAAGCTGGTCTTTCTCTGAGGTTTTACTAGAGGTCTGGAACTTATTCCAAGCAAATTCCCACTCTTTTTTCCCTCCGGCGGCCACAGCTTGGCAGTAGATGACTGACCGTAAGTTGGGGTGAATGCTGAGTCGCACAGAAACACACAAAACATGATGGCAATTGCTGGGAGACATTGTTTTCTTATTTCTTCCTACGGACATTCTGCAAATGCAATGCAGTGAAATCGTTATTTTCTTTTTTTCCCCAACTGGATCCCCACAAAACATATTTCAGGAAATACACATCCAAAGTCTGAGGTCAACCGCTAATCAGCGGTCACAGTTGACTGGCCTAGTTAGCTCTCGAAGGCTAAAAACATTACGCTAACTGGAGCGCTAATGAGAGAGAAGCGCTCCAGTTAGGTCCCTCTTGGCAATGGCAGAGCAGCTATGAGTTTGTTGAGTCCAGGAAACTCGCAGCTGTGACCGAAATAAACATTGTTCACTATGTAAACCAATGTGGTGTTTGCTGTTGCCGTTTCCGAACGAACCGGTAGAGGTCGCTGTTGGATAAAACTTCGTTGTAGTGAATGTCTTTGCGAGGCTGGAGCAGAGAAAATGATTTCGTATAACGCAACAGGGGGTTTTTCGTCGTATGGGGGGCAGGAGAATGGGAATTGTGTTAATGCATGAAGATTTTTTCACATAAGGGGGTATTTTCGCCCATGTAGGTTTCGTTCTAGAGGAGTTTCACTGTATACACATACATATACATGTTCACACACTCTTAAAAAAAATCACTTACCTGCCGGTTGATTACTGTGACGAACTGTACAAACTGTGGTAGGCTTTACTTTCAGGGCTTGGATTTGACCCCTCTCTCAGATAGGGGGACTTTTTGAGCATTTTGGCATTGAAAACAAATCCCCAACAACATAATCATACACACACACACGCACCTCACCCTCAGGCTTTTGCAGTCTTTAGGACAATCTTATAATTATGCAACTATTTGCTCTTTCTCTGAGCGCTTTGACACGTATGTGATTATTCACACTTGTCAAAAAGTAGTGGTATGTATGGTGGCTTTTACATGAGAGGCCAATAAATTGTAAATAATGAGCTAGATTAGAGTTAAGAGTGTTTAAAGAGTTGCTTAAATATTCCCTGTACTTTTACTACAGACTTTATGAACTTTAGCAACATATTGCAACAAAATAATTGAGATCAATGGAAAATTTCGACCAAATTGAAGGTGGGTCCGTATGTGTACTCTTGCGGAGAAAAAAATAACGGGAACATACAGAATCTGTTTCTATGTGAAAGTTAAAAGCATACGTTTTGAAGAATTTCCTTTTTGTAGAGGCTCACATTATACACGCGCGCGCGCACACACCCTCGCATGCACACACTAAATTGCTTTGACGTGCTTTTGCAGAGTAATCAACACGCTGCTTTGAAGCAGGAAGAGCTCAACTTACATGCAAATTAAACACTTCTTGAAGTACAGTGTATGCAAATCTGAAGGCTTGGCCGATTCACCTAGTTGTTAAGGTGGAATTGCAACATATTTTGACTGCTGGAAGGCTATCAAAGAATATTGTGTGTTGCATGATGTTATATGTGGTGAGGTAACTGGATTCTCTCAAGTCACATGGATGAATCAACTGATGTTTGGTAAAAAATTTCTGTGTTTTTCTGGGCTGAAAGTCTA